TTCAGCATTGGGAAATATGGTCACCCTGTCCATACCAATCACAATTTTATATGCCTCAATCATATCTCCCCTTAGTTGTCTCTTTTCCAAGCTGAAAAGTTCCAGTCTTATCTCTCCTCATATGGCACATTTTCATATCTCTCATTTCTGCTGCCCTTTTCTGAACCTTTTTTCCAGTGCTAAGATATCTATTTTGAGATGAGGTGACCACATTTGCATGCAGTATTAAATATATGGGCACACCATGGATTGTTATAGAGGCAGTGTGATATTTTTCTCTTATTTATCTCTTTCTTAAAGACGTTGTAGAAAAACTTACTTCATGTCCTCTAGTTCTTCAAAATAAATAAGAATACTGCTCCATTTTTAATTGTATCTTGAAATATTTCTACTTTTGTATATAGCTTTAAGGATGCCCAGCCCCCACTAGCAGCCACTGTACCCTGTCAGTCATCCTGAAATACACTAGAGTGCTTGTCAGGCCATGAGGTCGCAGATGCACCATTAGCTATAATAGTTGTACTGAAGTCCTAAGTACTTTTCCTGGTGTTTAGACCATTGCTTTCCTCTTGAATGTGGACGGTTTGTGTTTGGGATAGGTGAGTTATGAGGCATTATCTTTTTAATATAATTTGTGGTGATTTAGCAATCAAACTTCTAATGATTATATATTAGAAAGATTAGCGTATTTTTGGTCCTAGTTTCTGTTGTTACAATATTTTATTTAAATTAAAGAGTATCCAAATTGTATTTTAGAACTTCTCTAACAATTATCATTTGTATAGTTGAATTTTATTTCAGGCCACAGAACTTTTTTGCTTTTCTTTCTTTTTACTTGCCTCTTAGTTCAATATATCTATAAAAGGTATGTCAGTTTGGACAAGCTGTTCTTGATCATTCCCTTTTATAGATATATTGAACTATGTCAGTTTGGACAAGCTGTTCTTGATCATTCTTGATAAGACGACATCATAAAAGTTAGCACTTAGCTTAAAGTATACCATTGTGTAAGAATGCAGGTTGTTTTTTGGTTCCACAGACAGGAATACTCTATTTCCATAACACCTAAAAGTCATGTCTACGGTTCTGTATTATGAAATGTTGCAATATACTGGTGAAATGGATAAGTGTATAGATTAATAAAGTTGAGTTCCAAGTTATAGTAGCCTGGCATCATAGTATCTTATAACCAACAGTCCTATTGTGTCCAAAGGGCATACTGTGCTGGAGTAGTTCTTTTGTTTTTATTAACAAAGGGCTGTGATCTCAGTAGAAATGCTCACCTGGAAAAGTTGTTTATTCGTTGAAGAGGCAAGATAGTCCCAGTTACAAGTGATTCTTTTGGAGATACAAATCAGAAAGTATCTTGGGTTATTTCCCCCATTACCTCTATGCTTTGCTCTTTGATATGTTTCTAATCCATAAGAATGCTCCCAATTAATAACATAACAGTCATGTTTCCACTCATGTATGTTATGAATATGTCTATGGGTCAGAGCTGAGGATTCAAAAGTTTGTAAGCAATGCCGTGAAAACTGTGCTAACTGAAAACTGCTAAGATTTTGCATCATGAGCTTTGGTGGGCAAAACCCACTTCTTCAGATGAACTCAAACTCATCTGAAGAAGTGGGTTTTGCCCACCAAAGCTCACGATACTATATATACTTTTGTTAATTTCTAAGGGCATGTCTACACTAGAAAATAATTTCAAAAGAAGTTAAATCAAATTAATATATGAAATAACATTGAAATAGAGCATCCACATTATAGGGGAACATCGAAATAGCTCAGAATAATTTTAAAATAGTGCGTCCACACTGATTGGAGCCTTCTTCAGATTTAGATCCCCCAGAAGCACTCTGAGGAAGGCACCAAGAGGGCAGACACTTCCTGTGGCTGCTTGATATGGGAAGCTGCGACACATGCTTTCAGGGGCTCCTCTCTATGGCCGCATCTCTCACACCACTCCTACATTGCCTCCACCATCACAGGACTCCAAATTGATGCAGTGTGCCCTGGTTGCCCTTGTGGATGCCACAGCATTGACATCATGGAGCCAGAGTTGCTGCAAAGCAGTGGTATACTCATGGGCCTCATGCTGCACTTCCTGGCACAGTTCTTCCAGACAGTTTGCATGCTGCTCCAGCAGGATGACATCTAGCCCAAACACGAGGATCCCTTCACTCACATCCTGGTGTTCCTGCTGCTGCAAATGTTCCTAAACCCCTGGACACCATCAGACGCCGCTTCTGGTGGAGGGAGATCAGTTCAGACTGCTGGGACTACATAGTCCTGCAGTCATAAAATGACCAGCAGCAGTTTCAGAACTTCCATACGTGAAAGGCCACTTCCTGGAGCTCTGCAAGTAGCTCACCCCTTCCCCCAGATGACAGGACACCTGACTGCAACCTGCCATCCCCCTACAGCAGTGGTCTCCAACCTTTTTACACCCAAGATCACTTTTTAAATGACAGACCAAGCCAAGATCTACCGCCCCGCCCCTTCCCTGAAGCCCCGCCATCTCTATTCTCCTCCTCTCCATCACTTGCTATCCCCAATCCTTATACTGCTGCTTTTTTAAAAATTCTTCTGTAGGAAGAGGTTTTTCCAACATTTGGCCTGTCTACACTGGACCAAATGTCAGGAAAAAAACCCTTCTTTTGGAAGCCACCTTATTCCTTGTGGAAAGAGGAATATAGGGGT